GGCCCGGAGGGCCAGGTGAGGCGTGGGCCGGGAGAGGTGGGATTGGGCCGGAAACGGTGGGGATGGATGGCATCCGGGCCCGCGGGCGCTGCGATGCGGTCCTGGATGAACGACTTCTTTCTCTGAACCTCAGTTTCCTCCTCTGTAGAGTGGGGGCCAGTATCTGACTGTGTCTGGTTTGGAATGAGAAGTCAGCTCGCACTTGTCGGAGCCGCTCGCTCCGCGCCTGGCACAGTGGCCACTCGTTAATAACTGTTATTGTTAGTTTTGATGATGATGCTTGTGCTTGGCGGGAAAGATCTGGATGTGGGAACGTGAAAGATTGTTGGACTTGGAAGCAGCAGATTTCAGTTCCAGTCTCAGCACCACGTTGTAGCAGCGGGCCTGTGCCTTCACCTCTCTGAACCTTATTCATGTAGTGAGGGCGAAGAGTCCGAACATCATCGGGTCCTTCTCAGGATGCTGATGAAATGTGCGTGTACAGCTCCTAGCACAGGGCCTGGGACTGTATTGAGTAAAACTCAGTAGACTCATAATAATGATTTGAGAGTCATTGTTGTAGCTGGGACTTCCCAGGAAGTGAAAGGAAGGAGGAAGCTCAAAGACAGCAACAGGAACAACTTGGAATCGACATCCTGCCACTTACAAATTTCCAAATCCCATGATTTTTCTTCTTCTTTAAAACTACTGATGCATCCCCCTGCAGTCAGTTAACTTGAGAAGGAAAAGTTTTTTGCTATCCTAATGAAAACTGGCCTGGCTGGCCATGAGAAGGAACTCTTAGCCTGAAATACAATGGAAGCAGAACAGTCCATTAAATTGAGTGTGATTCCATATTGTCAGGTACATAGAACTCATCAAGTTACCTAATACTCTGTTCCCAGCTCACACTTTGCATAGGGCTGGTATAAGTCAGTGACTGTCTTTTCCTTTTCCTAGCTCACTGAAGATTTATTTATTTTATTTATTGCACACATATCTCCGTGTTTAAGAAATCATGCTTGGTGTTTATGAACTCATACACATATCACCTGTTGAGCATTATTCCAAGTGCTTGGTGTTTTGAACTCATTTACTCCCTTTAAGAATATACTCTTATCATTCTTTTTTTAAAAAAAATTTATTTTATTGATTTTTTTACAGAGAGGAAGGGAGAGAGATAGCTAGAAACATCGATGAGAGAGAAACATTGACCAGCTGCCTTGTGCACACCTCCTACCTGAGATGTGCCCACAACCACTTTACATGCCCTTGACCGGAATCGAACCCGGGACCCTTCAGTCCGCAGACCGACATTCTACCACTGAACCAAACCGGCTTCGGCGTACTCTTATCATCCTTATTTTATAACCGAGGGATGTGAAATCCAGAAAGGTTTCCCTGCCTACATGGCTCCGGCTCCCGAGTGTGTCAGTGGTTGAACGTCAACCGATGAACCAGGAGGTTACAGTTCAACTCCTGGTCAGGGCACATGCCCAGGTTGTGGGCTTGACCCCCAGTGTAGGGTGTGCCGGAGGCAGCTGATTAATGATTCTCTCTTATCAGTGATGTTTCTTTTTCTTTTTTTAATGTTTTTATTGATTTCAGAGAGGAAGAGAGGATGAGAGAGATAGCAACAACCTGGCATATACTCTGACCAGGAATCGAACTGTGATTTCTTGGTTCATAGGTTGACGCTCAACTATTGAGGGATGCTGGCTGCGCTCATCACTGATGTTTCTATCTCTCCCTTTCCCTCTCTGAAACCAATTTTTTTAAAAAGCAAGAAAGGTTAAGCCATTTACCCCAGAGTCAGGGTTAGGAAGTGGTAAGTGGTAAATTAAAATTTGTATCCATGCCTTCTAAGGGCTTAACACAAGTTATCTGGTTTATGGTAATTACTTGAGTTTTGAGCATGGTCATTTTTTTCATTATTATGTTATAATTTTCACCATTCAGAGAATCAGCGCTGGAGATGGGCTTTTAATGGTGGAGAGAGGAAACTGAGTCCAGCAGGGAATTCTGCAGCTGTCGGAGGATACCGGTACTTAAAGGCTTCTAGTAAGCATTAACTGAAACCTTGCAAAGACAGGTCATAGTGTCTGGTTCATAGTAAGCCCTTGGCCAACATTATCAATCATAGCCATTGGGCTGACTTGGGTTCAAGTCCAGGCCCTGTAGTTACTTACTGTGTGACCTTGGAGCTGCCATTCTCATCTGTAACATGGGGATCATTTTTACTTTCTTCCCCTGTGGTTGTGAGGAATCCCTGAGATGTATATACTCAGTCCCTGGCATGTGAGCATTCACTGGAAGCTACTGCATGGGCACTGGAATTGGGAGAACTTGTTTTTGAATTCCAGTAAAGCCATTTGCTAGACATGGCATTTGGCAAATGACTGCACCTCCATGAGTTGGTTTCTTTCATTGATTAAAATGGGTCTGATGCTAGTCCTCACTCATGAGGAGGTTGTAAGGCGTCAGCATGTGCCTGGCTCTGGTCCTGGTGTATCAGATGTTTTTCTGCCTGACTATGGAAGCCTCTTTGAGAGATGCAGTTAAGTTATCTTTGTCCAGAAGTAAAACCCAGGAGGGGAAGTGGGTGTTAGAGATTCAAGTACAGGGTGGAATGATGTCGGTGATCATGTTCATCAGTGAAGAATGCAGTAGGAGCCAGGGAAAGGCAGGATGAATCCTTGCTGGGGGAATCTCATGTGTAGGGAAGCTTCACAAAGAAGGCAGCAGCAAGGCAGAGTGGAGAGGGGCTTGCCCGGAGAACAGGAAAAGATAACATTCCACGCACAGGTGACGTGTGTGTGAGAACTGGGAGGTGGGCAAAGCCCCCGAGTGTTAGAGAAAGGCTGGGGTGGGAAGCCTGGGAGTTAAGAATATCCCATGCCTGGTGAGCATTAGACAGCATCTCAGGTGCTTCATACATAGAAGCTCATGTGCCCTCCCAGCATTTGTCTAAGGCTGTGGTTGGCAAACTGCAAGCCACATGCAGCTCTTTGGCCCCTTGAGTGTGGCTCTTCCACAAAATACCACGTCCTGGGCGAGTCTAATTTGTAGAAGTGGCGTTAGAAGAAGTTTAAGTTTAAAAAATTTGGCTCTCAAAAGAAATTTCAGTCATTGTACTGTTGCTATTTGGATCTGTTGACTAATGAGTTTGCCGACCACTGGGCTAAGGTAAGGAAGGTTTGTATCTTCCCAGTTTACAGATGGGGACGCTGAAGCTCGACTGGTAAAATGATTTGCTCAGGCCACACAGCTAGTCTGGTTACAGAGTCTTTACTTTTTTTTTTTTTTTTTTAATATATATATTTTATTGATTTTGTACAGAGAGGAAGGGAGAGAGATAGAGAGTTAGAAACATCAATGAGAGAGAGTCATTGATCAGCTGCCTCTTGCACACCCCCTACTGGGGATGTGCCCGCAACCAAGGTACATGCCCTTGACCGGAATCAAACCTGGGACCTTTCAGTCCGCAGACCAACGCTCTATCCATTGAGCCAAACTGGTTTTGGCAAGAGTCTTTACTTTTTTACTGCTTCTTTTAGGCCATCAGAACGGGACACACACACATGCAACAGATGGAATGCACTGGACAGAGGGCTTTCTGCACCCATAGAGGAGGTGGACGGGGATGAGGGCAAAGGATCAGAGTTGGGGGCTGGGGTGGGTGGCAGGGAGCAGAGTGAAGGATGAGGGCAGGGGAAATGGAGGATACGGCAGGGTCAGAGAAGAGAATGAGGGCTAAGTGGGAAGTTTGGGACGGGTGTTCCTTGAGTCAAATAGCATTGAATCATCAGGAGAGAAAGTTACTTCCATCAGTTTCTGTTCAGAGCTGCTATTAATGTCCAGGAGGAAGTTTTCATTGGTGCTAATATGTCTCTAACATCTTTCTAGCACCTGCTAATCTCTTAGGTGAAAATTGGCTTTTCATTTCTTCTCTGAGGCCCCTCATGATTTGGTGCCCCACCTGTCTGCCCTTGTCTCTCTCACTCTCCTGCTCACTCCACGCAGCCAGGCCAGCTGCTGCTGCCCCTCCAACATGTCAGACGGGCTCCTGGCTCAGGCACCGGACTTACTTTCTCCCGGAAAACTCTTCTGTAAAACCACACTGCTCACTCCTCCACCGCGGTTGGGTCTCTGAATGCCACTTCAGAGTGTTTTTCCCTGATCACCCTCTTTAGTATTGCAACCTCTTTCTTCCCAGGCCCTCCATGTTTCTCCGTGACACTAAAGGCTTTCTGACACATCATACCTTTTCTTTCCTTTAAAAAAATATATTTTTATTGATTTTTAGAGAGAGAGGAAGGGAATGGATGGTGGGGGACACACAGAGAGAAATGTCAATGTGAGAATAAAATGGCAAAACATTGATTGGCTGCCTCCTGCATGCTCCCTTTTGGACATCAGGCCTATAGCCCAGGCATGTGCCCTAACTGGAAATCGAACCGTGACCTCCTGGTCATAAATTGATGCTCAACCACTGAGCAACTGGCCTGGCTGATACACCACATCTTAACTGTTCTGCTTGTTTCCTCTCTCTGTTTCCCTTCCCTCTTTCCTTACCTAGATGCCAGATTCCATTTTTTGTTCAGCTAAGCATCCCTAGCTCCTAGAACAGTGCTTCACAACAGGTGTGAAGCATACAGTTTTGAATGAATGAATGAATGAAGTATTTATGGTTAAAGTCTTGGGTAGGGGCTGTCTTTTTCCCCTCTCTTTTTCCTTCCTCTCTTTTTCTAGCTAGAAACTTTTGAGGTGTGTGGAATAGAGCTGTGGACATTTACTGTCCCAGGCAAAGTGATAGTTGTGGTGGCAGCTCTGTTCCAGGCTGACTTCCTGCCAGCTGCTCCAGGCTATTCCTGGGCTCTGAGCCCCCGGTCCAGGAACTCTCCTCTGGCGGCAGACAGGCAGCGCGAGAGGGACAAGCCTCACAGCAGTGGCAACACAACGCCCTCTCCTCTTGTTCTCTCTTCCAGGCTCCAGGGAGCTGCGTGGGGGCCAGGGCGACAATGGTCTCAGTGACGATGGGTGAGTCTGTGGACTTCTCTCTGGGTCCCCCCTCCCCACTGCCCTCTTTGAGGTATGACCTTGCCGGGGAAGACGTGGGGGAGGGAGGGCCGGTCACAGACAGGAACAGCTGTGCTGTGAGGACCATGGAGGTGGAGCCAGGCCTGCTCAAGGCCTACCCGCTTCCTCTCTGTGTCTTTGCCTTCTGTAGCCTCGTTAGCCATAAAGGACTTGGGTATTGAAGTCCAGCAGATCCCCCACATGGCCTCTCAGAGTCTCCGTTTTCTCACATTCTACATGTGAGAAACTAATTCTACATGGAGATACTAATACTTCCTACAACCTGGGTGTAATGAGGATTAATGAGGTTATTGCATGCAAGATTCTGGGCATAGTTTTCTTTGCAGTTCATTTTGCTTTAGGCAGCTAGCTACTCCCAACCTATGTGGTACTTTTCCCCCCTTAAGAGCTTGATTGACATACAGTTCATATTTTTACAATGACTTGTTTAAAGGCTATAATTCAGAAGTTTATATACATATCTTTCTTTTCTTCTTTTTTCAAAATATATTTTTATTGATGTCAGAGTGGGAGAGAGAGATAGAACATCAGTGATGAGAGAGAATCATTGCTTTGCTGTTTCCTGCACACCCCCAACTGGGGATCGAGCCCACAACCTGGAATCATGTGCCCTTGAGTGGAATCGACCCCAGGACCCTTGAGTCCACAGGCTAATTATCCACTGAGCCAAACTGGCTAAGGCTATATATTTTTTTCTATTCACAGATTTGTGCAACCATCACCACAATCAATTTCTTTCAAAACATTTTCATCTCCCCCAAAAAACCAATGTCCATTAGCAGTCACTCCTTCCACCCCCAGACCCTCAAACCACTAATTCACAAATTCACTTTCTATCTCTATGGATCTCTAGATTTACCTGTTCTGGACATCTATACTAATAATAGAGGAATATGCAAATTGTCTGGGATGCTGTCACAGTAACAGTAACAACTGAAGAGCAGGTTGACAGACTGCATAGGGCAATAAAGCCTGCAGGGGGGTTAGTGAGGGATGACCAAACGACTAGACAGCAGGCTGTGAGGGGTGACCAGGCCAGCAAGGGGGAAGTTGGGGGCAACCAGGCTGGCAGAGGGGGCAGTTGGCGAACAGGCCAGCAGGGTGGGGGGGAGAGGAGGGGCCGCTAGTTAGGGGCAGCCAGGCCAGCAGAAGGGGATGGTTGGGGGCAACTAAGCCAGTGGGGGGAACAGTAAGGGGCTATCAGGACGGCAGGGAGGGCAGTTGGGGGCAACCAGGCCAACAGGCAGAGGCGGTTAGGGGTGATCAGACTGGCAGGGGGGGCAGTTAGGGGCGATCAGGCAGGCAGGCAGGTGAGCAGTTAGGAGCCAGTGGTCTCAGATTGTGAGAGGGATGTCCGACTCAGGATTGGGCCTAAACCAGCAGTCAGACATCCCCCGAGAGGCTCTGGATTGGAGAAGGTGCAGGCCAGGTTGAGGGACACCCCCCCCCCCCACATACCGTGCACAAATTTCATGCACCAGGCCTCTAGTTTCACATAAATGGAATCATTTTGTGGTGCTTTTTCTTTTTTAATATATTTTATTAGTTTTTTACAGAGAGGAAGGGAGAGAGATAGCTAGAAACATCGATGAGAGAGAAACATTGACCAGCTGCCTCCTGCACACCTCCTACCTGAGATGTGCCCGCAACCAATGTACATGCCCTTGACCGGAATCGAACCTGGGGCCCTTCAGTCTGCAGACCGATGCTCTACCACTGAGCCGGCTATATGGTGCTTTTCAATACTTAGACAAAATTGCCTGCTTTTGGTTGATGGAAACCAGGGTACCCTGGCTACGCAGGTGCCTAGAGCCTATGCAGAATAGAAGGTACCGTTTCTTCTGGGCAGGAGCCCACCTTTCTCAATAAGAGATGCAGGCCTGTGACCTGGTGGGCAGGGCCCTCCTTGGGTGAGGTGTGGCTGTGGGTTTGTGCCAAGCCCCGCATTGCCACATATAAAACATCTGACCTGGAGTGTGTCTCAAGCGAATGAGCCTCAGTTGTCTCAAGCAAAATGAGCACAGCAATACCAAATTTTTTCTAATCTCATTGCCCAACCCCCAGCCAGTGTGGCTCAGTTGGTTGAAGTGTCGGCATATGCACTGAAGGGTTTCAGGTTCGATTTGATAGTTTTCTCTCTCCCCTCCTCACTCCCTTCCTCTCCCTTCCTTTCGCTAAATATATCCTTGAGTGAGGATTAAAATAAACAAACTAGCAGGGAATGTTGGATGTAATATTATGTATCACGAAAAAGAAAAAGAATGTTGCCAATTAAACTGGCAGCTCGGCTGGGGTGGCTTCGTGGTTGAGCATCGACCTATGAATTAGGAGGTCACAGTTCCATTCCCCATCAGGTCTGTCGAGGCACATGCCGAGGTTGGGGGCTTGATCCCCAGTAGGGGCGTGCAGGAGGCAGCCGATCAATGATTCTCTCATCATTGATGCTTGATGCTTCTCTCTCTCTCTCCCTCTCCTTTTCTCTATGAAATCAATAAAAAATATATTTTTAAAAACCCCACAAAAGACAACTATGGCACACCATCGATTGTGAGATAGATCCTGGTTTCAGAGATACTAAAAAAGAAAAAGATTTTACTTGAAATCAGTGATCTTACCTATCACCTGGCCTAACAGAGGAGGGTCAATTTGAAGGTCACACCGAAGAAAACAAGAAGGAATTTAGAAACAGTAAGCCAGGGGCGAGGTGCCCCTCCCCTGCCTGCTCCTCATTGGCCAAGTGGGGGAGTCAGTGCTGCTTAGCCACAGGTTGCCAGGCAGGCGAAATCCCATCGCCTGTGTGAGCGCTCAGCCCAGGGCCTGGCGTTCGGTAAGCATTTAATTTGTGGGAGCCGTTGCCGTTGTGGTTTTGCTGTGGCTGTTCTCTAAAGAGGATAATGTGAGTAATGATCCTGTCCACCCACCAGCCACTTCTGAGTGGATCCAGTTCTTTAAGGAAGCCGGCATTCCTCCGGGACCTGCTGTCAATTACGCTGTGATGTTTGTGGATAATAGGTAAGGAGCGCTGAGGGGATGAGCTAAACTCGGGGAGAAGGGGGAAGAGACAGGGAGCTGGATGGCCGACTGCCTTGGGCCACCGTGGCCTCACTGCTGACCCTCCCCTACAGGATCCAGAAGAGCATGCTGCTGGATCTTAACAAAGAAATCATGAATGAGCTGGGCGTGACTGTGGTGGGCGACATCATTGCCATCCTGAAGCATGCCAAGGTGGTACACCGCCAGGTGGGTGCACTGTCCCATCTCTCTGTTTCTGGGTTTAGGGTTGGGGGGGAGAGGAGAGCTGACAGGAGGCTTAAAAGCAAAGGCAGGCAGACCTGGGATCCAAGGCTGGTTCTGCATTTGCTGTGTGACATTGGGCACATTGCCTAACCTCTCTGAGCCTTTGTCCATCTGTAGTTTGCACATAGGCAAACCTATTTTGCAGGATGACTGTAAATATTACATTATAAAGCCTAGTACAGTATAAACAGTAGGGCTTCAGTAAAAGATCTCTGTATTATTATTACTAGTTGCCATCTTACTAATATAATTATCATGACCAGGATTCTTCTCTGTCCCCAGGACAGAAGCTTCCTATGTGGAGTCCAGTTGGTGACTTGGCCAACAGAATAGTGGTTCCATTCATTACTGGCCCTGCTGGTTGGCCCCTCTGGTTACAGTGTCCTTAGACTAATGATGTCACCTTCCTGAGTCTCTCTGAAACAGGCTTTTCACACACCCTGCTGCTTAGGGTGGCTTTGGCTATCTACCAAATAGTGTATGTGGCAAGGAGTGCTTGTGAAGTTACGATTGCTAACACTTACCATGTGCTTGCCATGCCGGCCAGGCTGTCTCTGCCCTTATACTTATTAACTCGTTTGCTCCTCCCTACACTTGACCAAGAAGGAAACTTGCTTCAGAGCTGCACTCCAGCACTCCACTCTGCCACGGAGCGGCTGCTGCGTTACTCTCATATCCAGTAGCTCCCTCGGTCCCAGAGGTGGTCCTCACAGTTCCCCATCCACAACAGGCCCCTCAGCGAGGGCTTTCTCCAGCCAGGGCATTCTCTGCATTACCACGGAGATGGTAACACTTCTTTTTCTTTCAACTTTTAAATCTGGGAATAATTTTTGACTTCTGGAAATGTTCCAACAATAGTACAGAAAGTTTCTGTGTGTCTTTCACTCAGCTTCTCCTAATGTTAACATCTTACATCGTGGTGGAACATTTGTCAAAACTAAGAAATGAACAGTAGTATGCTAGCATTAACTAAACTACAGACTTTTTGGATTTCATTCCTTTTCCATTGATACCCTTTTCCTGTTCCAGGATGCCTCACTGCATTGACTGATATCCTCTTTGTCTCTCTCTTTAAAAATTTATTAGAGAGGGAGAGAAACATTGATTTGATGTTCCACTATTCATGCATCCATTGGTTGCTTCCTGGATGTGCCCTAACTGGGGATCAAACCCACAGCCTTAGCTTATTGGGACAAGGCTCTAACCAACTAAGCTCCATGGCCAGGGCTAAATTTATTTTCAATTACAATTGACACACAATATGATATTCGTTTCAGGTATCAACATAGTGATTTGACATGACCTTGACAGTTTTGTAGAGCACTGGTCAGATGTTTTGTAGACTGTCCCTCAGGGTTTGTCTGTTTTCTCCTGGTTAGGAGTTAAAATTTTTTCTTTAGCAGCTCTGATACCCCTAGTTTGGTTTAGATTTCTGAGTCCTCTGTTCCCTCACCTGATGCCCCATCCCCCTGGTAACCAGGCACTTTTTTTTTTTTTTTTTTACAGGACATGTGCAAAGCTGCTACTGAGTCCGTGCCCTGCAGCCCTAGCCCCCTCCCAGGCGAGATTCGCCGAGGCACCCCTAGTGGTGAGTCCCATCTGCTCATTCTTACCCTCCTGCAGTGAAGGAAACATACCTGGAGTCTGCAGAGGTGGCAGCAAAAGCATCTGAGGCCCTCTTCTCTAAGGGAAAAATACACTGGGTGATGAGGGGCTGGTGGTAGTTCTGTCCTGTAGTCACTGCGAACATCCAATTAGTGAACACTGAATCTCGCTCCTATGGGCAATACAAGGTTAGGTTTCTGCAAACCTCTGGTCACCACATTCTTCCTTAGCTGATCAATACTGAACCTTCTTTTATGTGAGTTTCTATTTAAAGACACTTTATTTACTGTATATTGTTGATTCATTAACATTGAACTGTGATCAGTAACACTATAACTCATTCCTGAACGGAGCTAATCTCACACAAGTATTTTTTCCATAAGGCACATACATCAGTGCCTCCTTGCACTTAGGAACACAGACAGCACTTCAGTGCTATGCTTAGGGGGTCGTTTTAATCAACACAGTCATGGACCACTTGTTTACAGTATGAGAGCTGAAACAAGAACACAGCGTGTGGCTTGTTCGACCTCAGTTGGGAGTTGGGTGTTGGGCGACTCAAGTTTTTCTCCATTCTGGGCCTGTCTGAATGACCACAGAGGCACTCTGAGTGTTCGTTTTGGGGGTTACAAGTAAATTTTAGTGAAGAGGTGAATTTGAAAATATGGAATCAGTGAATGGTGAGAACCGGCTCTAGTTATACTTTTGTTTCTTTATTATTATGATACATTAAAAAAATAAACCTAAAAAAACACCTAAAAAATATAACATGCATATTTGTTAGCCTTTGCTACTTAGCAAGCCACCCCAAAACTGGTTTAAAACACTGACATTTCTTTCCCATGGCTTTATGACTTGGTTGGTCATTTTTGCTCCAGGCCCACTCAGCTGGTCCTGATGGTGATCTAGGAGATCTCAGCACACATCTGATGGTTGGCTGGATGTCAACGGGGGCAATTGGGCACAAGCCTCTCATTTCCTAGCAGCTAGCTCAGCCTCATCCGTACAAGGGGGTTGCAGGACTCCCAAAAGCAGCATAAGAAGGCAGCCCCATTTTTCAGATCACCTCTAAGCCTCTGCTTGCTCTTGTCCCATTGGCCAGAACCAGTCACATGGCTCAGCCCAGAGTCATTGTAGGCAGGGCCTATGCAAAGGCATGGTCAAAGGAGGCTGAACAAATTGGGGATTTGTTTCTGTAAACATCTCCTACAACTTACATGCAGAAAAGGGTTCAGATCACAACAGTACAGCTGAATGACCTCACAGATGGTACATCATGTGAGCAGCAGTCACGATGTCAGAGCACAAAGCACCTGATGCTGACATTCAGGAGAGACAGACACGCATCTGCCTAAAAGGTGCTAACTTACCATGATTATACGTGTCCCTGACTGACTCCTTCCCACGCTGGGATTGGCCTCTGCTACTTAGCCTTACATGCTACAGTTCTCACCTTATACCCTAGGCAGTGGTCGGCAAACTCATCAGTCAGCAGAGCCAAATAGCAACAGTACAACAATTGAAATTTCTTTTGAGAGCCAATTTTTTTAAAAAAAATTATTTTTTTTATTGATTTTTTACAGGCAGGAAGGGAGATGGAAAGAGAGCTAGAAACATTGATGATGAGAGAAACATCGACCAGCTGCCTCCTGCACAACCCCCATTGGGGATGTGCCCACAACCAATGTTCGATGCCCTTGGCCGGAATCGAACCTGGGACCTTTCAGTCCGCAGACTGACCCTCTATATATTGAGCCAAACAGATTTCGGCGAGAGCCAAATTTTTTAAACTTCTTTTAATGCCATTTCTTCAAAATAGACTCGCCCAGGCCGTGATATTTTGTGGAAGAGCCACACTAAAGGGGCCAAAGAGCCGCATGTGGCTCATGAGCTCAAAGTTTGCCGACCACAAGTCTAGGGCATCACTCTCTTGCTCTGTAGAAAACAGGGTCCATCAGAGACTGTCCCCCACACCCAGAGGGAGGTCACTGCTTTTCTTTCCCCAGTGGAGCCAGACCCACATTCCCAGGCCTGGCTGAGTGACCCCCACTCTGAATCCCAGTTCCCTTGTCTGTATAGTTGGTTATCAGTAGGGTCTGTCTAGCACAGATGTTGGGGGTTTGTGGTAGTGTTCATCTTTTCAGTAGATGCTGATTGAGGGCTGTGAAGTGTCAGAAATATGGACACTGGGATACAGCAGTGAACAGGCAGGCTCCTCAGAGAGCTTGCGTGCTCTGGGAGAATCCACCAGTGAACAAATAATGCAACTTAGTGTTGAGCAGCAACAAAGGCTCTGAAGGAAGAGAAAGTGTAGAGCAGGGCAGGTTGGTGGGGTGGTCCGGAAAGCGTTCTCTGAGGAGACCCTGTGAGAGGAGACATTGCATGAAGAGGCCGAGCAGACCTGTTGGAACCCTGGAACCGCGTGCCCCGCCAAGGGAACAGATTGGCTGAAGTGCAGCGTGGAGGGGAGGGACAAGGGGTACATCACTAACTGATGGGTGAAGTATGGCAGGGGCCGGTCTGGTCTTGGGTCTCAGGAAAGACCCTCAGGGCAGGAAAGCATAGGCTAGTTCCTGGAAAGACCGGCCCACCCAACCCCAGGCATCCTCACAGGAGGACCGCACCGCCACAGGGGAACTCTGGCTGCTCCTTCCCCATTCAGTCCCAAGGCTGGCTCTGTCCCCTGCACTGGCCTCTGTCCTTTCCTCCCTGCAGCCGCCTCCCGAATGATCGCCAACAGCTTGAACCGAGACTCCCCACCTGGAACTCCCCCGAGGCGGCCAGACACCAGTACCTCCAAGATCTCCGTCACCGTGTCCAATAAGATGGCAGCAAAGAGTGCCAAGGCCGCTGGTGAGGGGACTGGGGCAGCTGGTGCGAGGGGCTGGAGGTGAATGTGGGCTGGCAGATGGGGGTCATGTTCCCAGCGTTGTGAGTGCCTGAAGGCCACCAGGTTCAAAGGGTTTGTCATTGATCAAGTCACTGTACCTCTGGGGGCCTCGCTTTCCACGCCTATAGAATGGGGTTGGGGCGCCCTACCAGAGTACGGTCAGAAGCCCCTGAGATGGTGTGTGTAAGCACAGGTGCACTGTGGTTCTCACTCAGTGCTTGGTTCGGTCTTTTTAATTTTATTTTATTGGGGTCAGAACACTTAACATAAGGTCGACCCTCTTAATAAAGTTTTAAGTGTACACAGCAGTACTGTTGACTAGAGGTGGTTCAGTCTTTTTTAACAGATGTTCACTGAGCCTCACAAGATAAAGAAGCTACTGTTTCCTCTCAGCAGGCAGAGGGATCTTCCAGAACCCTCACCCAGATCTTTTCACTCCTTTGTCTAGAACTCTCCAGGGCTTCCCATTATTCCGACAATAAAATCCAGTCCTAAGTGGATTCCTCTCTTGTGTCCCTTTCTCCTGCTCGCTGCCTCTGGCCCCTTCCAGGATCCCCCGCCCCTGTGGGGCCTTTGCCCCGGATTCCCTTCTCTGCAGCGTGCTTCCTTTGCAGACTTCCGAGGCTGGCCTCTGCTCTTCTAGGTCTCAACTTGAAAGCTGGGATTGGGACTCTGGCCTTAGGGCTGTCAGGCCCTCTCTGTGTTGCCACTTTCCCCCTTTGTTGGACCCATCCTACAACATGAAGTTGGCACAAGTGGAATCTGAGGCCCGGAAAGGGGGCTTCGCAATCTGACCCCAGCCCCATCATGCCCTGCCCACTCTTTGGCACCCTGCGTGCTCCCTTTCTGCTGAGGGCTCTTGGGAGTGCCTCACCCCCCTTCTGGCCTTGTGATTTGCATGCCATGAGAAGGAAAGTTACAATTACTGTCTAAAGTATTGAAAAGGGAGGGACTGGCACTCTTCCCCCTCCACACATTGGAGGGAATTCTTTTTTGTAAAAATGGAGTTAAATCTAGTTACATACAGATTGTAAGGGTTTTTTTTTGTTTTTTTTAAAAATATATTTTATTGATTTCATACAGAGAGGAAGGGAGAGAGATAGAGAGTTAGAAACATCGATGAGAGTCATCGATCAGCTGCCTCTTGCACACCCCCTACTGGGGATATGCCCGCAACCAAGGTACATGCCCTTGACCGGAATCGAACCCGGGACCCTTCAGTCCCCAAGCCGACGCTCTATCCATTGAGCCAAACCAGTCCCGGCCAGATTGTAAGTTTAGGACTTTATTAATTTTTGAAAGGTGAGCACACCTGTGAAACCACTATCTGGGGGGCTCTGTAACCTCCCCTCCCAACCATGTCTGAGGGGAGACTGGGCTGGGAGGTGAGCCTGCTTGGGTGGACAGAGCCACAGAGAACGGGAGGCCACTGCAGCCTGGGGTTTCCGAGTACCTTCTGCCCGTCTGGCTCAGACCTCTGAGTTTCTCATCTGAGTTTCTCGGTGGTTCAGAGGCAGTGGTAATGGGGGTGGTTGGGAACATAAGGGGTTCCAGTCATGCGAATGCATGGAGATGAAGGGCACGTATGTGCCCTTTGCAGGGCATCTGGTCCCTATCCTGCTCAGCCACACCCTCTTCCCCAGCTGCCCTGGCCCGCCGGGAAGAGGAGAGCCTGACTGTTCCCACCAAGCGCCGCAGGGTCACTGCTGAGATGGAGGGGAAATACATCATCAACATGCCCAAGGGCACCACCCCCCGGACCCGCAAGATCCTTGAGCAACAGCAGGCAGCGAAAGGTACTGGGCTGGCAGGGGTGCACGCTGGCATAGGCTGTTTCTCTTTTGCTCTCATCCCGCTGGTGTTGGCTGAGAAGCTGGCTGTAAAGGGACCCAGGGGACCTTGGACCAAGGCAACAGCAATGGGAGCCAAAGAAGAGGGGTAGGCACCACCTGTGCCCTTGTGTCCTGAGGTTAGCGTTGCAGGTCTGCTTAGTCCCTCAGCTTGGCGCTCTTCACGGGTGAGGGTGGGGAGGGTTCAGGGCGTGGATTTGGTGATGGCTGCCTCTACAGCTGTGCTGTGCCTGGCTGAGGGCAGGTGCCCAAGAAGTGGGAATTGTCATGATGAGCCCGAGGGGTCTGGTTGAGATTCAGTCCAGCGCTGCAGCTTGTATTTGGTGTGTGAAGATGGCGCTCTGTGGACTCAGAATATAGTCTGTGTTCTCATGGGGGAACATTCAGATGATGCAGAAGCACATACAGTAAAAACAAACTGCTTCCTTCCCTCCCATCTTCCTACCTGTTGCTAACTTTTCCAGGCTAACACCCATGAACTCACTTGCATCTGTATACGTGTCCACACACATGGGTGTTTTTTCCTTCTAAATGTGTAGCATCATCCTGTAGGTATTATTCTGTTACTCTTCTATTGAGATCTTTTCACTTTAGTGTATGTACATCTACAGTCCATCCTCCATATCCATGAGTTTTGCATCCATGGACCCAACTAACTGCAGATTGAAAATATTCAGAGAAGCCCTGGCTGGTGTTTGCAGAGGTTAGAGCACCAGCCAGTGCATCGAAGAGTTTGGGGGTTTGATTCCTGGTCAAGGGCATGTACCTGGGTTGCAGGTTTGATCCCCACCCTAATCAGGGTGCATGTGGGAGGCAACCGACCGATGTCTCTCTCTCACATCAATGTTTCTCTCTCTTCCTCCCTCCCCATTACCCCTCTCTTTCTAAAAATCAATGGGAAAAAAATATCCTCTGGTGAGGATTAACAAAAAAAGGAAAAAAGAAAAAAAAAAAAGAAAGAAAATATTCAAAGGGGGGAAAAAAGCCCAGAAATTTTCAAAAAGCAAAACTTGAATTTACCATGTGTTGAGTGCTACCCTTGATCCCTGTCAATGACAGAGTGATAAGTAGGTGTACCCTGCTTTAACACCATGAAAATAGGGATGATCTGCACATACTGTGCCATTTTATATGAGGGACTTGAACTTCTCCGATTTTGGTATTCATGAGGTACTGGAATGGCTATGCTCATTCTTGCTAATGATTGTTTAATATTTCCACAGTATTTGTATATCATATCAAGCATTCTGTTGGTGACTGTTTAGGTTGTTATTTATAGAGAGAACTTGTTACCCTTCATCAGATTTTCTCAGAGGTCTATGACCCCAAAAAGAGTGAGAGGCCCGAGTAGTGATCAAGAACTCTTCTACACACACATTTGATGAACTTGTACGAGGTACAAGGACCATATGTTAATTTTAGCTCATCCTTCCCACAGCTGACACCAGCCAGGAGCCAGTGGGTTAAGGTCAGTGTTAACCAAAAAGTGTAGACAAAGCCTAACTGGGCCCAGTCTGTGCCTATTATACCAGCGCTGCTTGGGGTCCAGGCTGCCATGCTGTCCCCTCCCTTGTCTGCACGTGTTCACCCGGGTCTGGGCCACGGGGGCCACTTAGCAGGTGCTGAACGATGGGCTCGCTTCCTCCAGGTCTCCACAGGACGTCTGTGTTCGACCGCCTCGGTGCCGAGACCAAGGCAGACACCACGACGGGCAATAAAGTGAGTTGGAGGTTGGGGAGCCACTCGGGGCTCTCAAATTATTGTCCTCCCTGGGTGTTGTTCCTGACACTCCCACATCTCACCCCTGCCACCCTCTGGGCCCATCCCACCTACCTTTCTAGCCTCAGTTCCCTTCTTTGATTCCTGTCTTCTGCCCTGACCTGTCCCGACATCCAGTCCTGGGGTCTGGCTGACTCCTGGATGCTGCCGTATCCCAAACCACCTTCAGCATCATCCCCAAAGCAACCCCTCTCCTGGGCCCTGCCTCAGGGACGCCCCAAGGTCCTCATTCTAGGCAGTCACCAGACGGATGGCACCATCTGTCTTGCCTGCTCTGCCGCCTCTTCCTGTCTGCATAGGGCAGTGGCCTCCGAACTGTTCACCCTGCAGCCCTTCTCCCCCAGCAGCAGTGGGTGCTGCCACAGGACAGGCCGCTGCCGCCCCCTGCAAGCCCCCTCTTCTCCCCTTGGCCCTGCAGTAACAGGCCCTGGGCATGGTGCCTAGGAGCACTCCACCTGGCCCGCTGCACAGGGTGAATCTGTCACCCCCTAGCTGCATGGCCTTGGCCATGGCACTTATGCCCTTCCCACCTTGGTTTCCTGTATAGTAGCGACCTCATCGGGTGATTGTGAGGATTAAGTGAGAGGTACCTGCATGGTGCTATGGGGTCTGGGGCGTGGTAAGCACCCTTCAATGTCACCAGCTGCATTTCCTGCCTCAGCCTCTCACCCACCAGGCCTCACCCACTCTGGCCTCTTCTCACTTCCTAGAACCTTGGCGTGAGCGTGATAATGGCACTCAGGATCATGTGGCTTGAAGATGGAGCCACGTCAAGAGCTTGGCCCCCGCGAGTGCTGCAGTGATTCTTACTCCGGCCTTGGGGACTCAGCTGCTTCTTTTGCTGCTGATTCAGTCTGAGGGTCTGGCTTAAATGCTGGTGTTTCCGAAAGCTTCCCAAACTCTGAGAAGAGATGAGGCTTCCCTATTTCCCGCTCTCCAGCACCCTCCTCCCCTCCACAGAATATATCACTAGTAATTAGAGAGTTACTTGTCACTTCCAGTGCCAGGTCTGTCTGCCCCTCTGGACTGTGAGTCCCCTGAGGTCAGGGCCAGGCCTGTCTTGGGCACCTCTGTGTCCCCAGCACCACCCAGCACAGGGCCAGGTACAGAGTCAGGACTCAGAAAATACCTGTCAAGTCATGACCGAATTTGTCTTCTCTCCTGTTCATCTGTAAACCTTAGCTGATGGTCTTACCACTTTGTGGCATGTGCTTTCTCCTCTCCAATCCCGGTCAACTCTCAGATCTCATCTCAGATGTCCCTTCCCCAGGGAGCCTTTCCTGACCTCCACCCAAAGTCAGAAGCCTCCTCTGGGCTCCCCCCGTTCCCTGGACCTCCCGGTCATGGCTCCTGCCAGTGTCTATGTGTCACCAATGGGTATTCCTCTCAACTTGGATCTCAGAGGCCAGCAGGCACATGCGGCAGCTATCCATGAATACATGCTGAATGACTCACTTGTCCTGTCTCTGACTCCACAGCCCACGGGAGTCTTCAGCCGACTGGGGGCTACCCCAGAGATGGATGAGGATCTGGCCTGGGACAGCGACAACGACAGCAGCAGCTCTGTCCTACAGTATGCCGGGGTCCTGAAGAAGCTAGGCCCGGGCCCAACCAAGGCCAGTCCCCAGCCGGTGCTGACTGTCAAAGCCAAGGCCACAAGCTCAGCGATGACGGCCGGCACCCCTACATTGCGGCGCCTGGCCCTTCCCTCCCGCCCAGGGTCCCTGTCCAAAGTCAGCATCATCCAGAGACTGGGCAAGGCTGTCCCTGTGCCCGAGGCCCAGGACAGCCAGGTCACAAGCACCAAGAGTAAGTCATCAGCCGAGGTCAAGGTCACCATTAAGAGGACTCTGGGGCCCCGGGGAAGCAGCTCCAGCGAGGGCCTGGGTGCCCAGATGGACCATGCAGGCACTGTGAGCGTGTTCAAAAGACTGGGCCGCAGGACCTTCTAGCCCACAGGTGGGGCCCAGGCCCCTCTCCAGGCTTTTGACTCCATCAGTTTCCAGCCAGGCCCAGCCTTGGATGGCACTGCGGTCTCCCTCAGGCATCCAGCGCGGCCCGAGCTGTGTGGGGATGCATCCCGTTTACTGAGTCCGAGATGGTCATTGTGCCCTGGCTGGCCACTCTGGGACTTTCCCTTCTCTCGTGTCCTCTGTTCTGTCCTCTCCGACTGTGGCCTTGGCAGGGCCCTCCTTTCTACCTCTCCCGAGTGCCAAGTGCCCTTTATCCCTCCTATATCCCCGCCCTCCCTCTCAGCAGCCTCCACTGCCTCAAACCCCAGCTTCTCGGCCTCTTAGTCCCCAGGAGCAGGTGTTGCCCGGGGTCTCCCTTATCCCCCCACCCTGCCACTTCCTGACTTCCCTCCCATCACTCTTCCGGCCCCCACCCCCCAACTTTAACTTCTTTTTTTCCTCCCTGTTCTTCATTCTATTCATTTATCTTCTGTTTTCTGTCCATGTGGTAAGGCCCGACTGTCCGCTGCATCCTGCCTGACCCTCCTGCACCTCCGGCCTCCCAGCGGCCCCTTCGTCGACAGTGGCGTCGAGCCTGTTGAGACTGTTAGCAGCCTCACTCCCAGGCTGGAGGGACCTCCCCAGACCCTGGGCTGCAGCAGGGGCACCTCCGTCTTCCTGCCCTGGGCGTCTTTTCTCTGAAAGGCAGTGGCGGGTGGTGGGCAAGGGGCACTGGGAAGGGAGGCCGGTGCCGAGAGAAGAAAATAGCTGTTTTAATATATTTTTGAATTTCAAATGTTTTCCTCCCCTCCTTCAAGGTGAGTCACAGGATTGCGTTTCACACAAAGCATGTGATGGAGGGGTTGCAGTGAAGAGTTGGGCTCTGTCTCTGAATGTCAGGCTCCCTGCACACATGTGGGCCATGCCTGCTGCAGGCCAAGTCCAGGGGAGCACTGGCCGCGTCAGCATGCAGCTGGGCCTCCTCCTCTCACCAGAATGCTGCCTCGGTTCTGTCCCTCTGCCTCCCCCTCCCAAGGTTCACCTGTTTCTGTCTCTCTCTCTGTTGGTGGCTTCCAAGTTGCAGACTCCATTTGAAGGTGAGGGATTCACGTGGGTTTGATTTCCACTTGTTCGCCGCTGTACAGCCCCTACTCTGTGCCAGGCCTGCTCTAGGAGCTGGGACCTCTGTGAGCAAGACAGACAAGCCCTGCCCATGGGTGCTGACTGCTCCAGCCAGGGAGATGGGCAGTGAAGTGACCACGGACTGAGGGATGAGTGAAAGTGGCCGGGGCCTCTTTACTAATTTATTTTATTTTTTAAAATATATTTTTATTGATTTCAGAGAAGAAGGCAGTGGGATAGAGAGATAGAAACATCAATGATGAGAGAGAATCATTGATTAGTTGCTTCCTACACGCCCTTTACTGAGGATCATGCTGCCACCTGGGCATGTGCCCTTGACCAGAATCAAACCAGCACCTTTCAGTCTGCAGGCGGACGCTCTAAACCAGCTGGGGCAGACCAGGGCCTCTTTAGATGTTGGGGGTAAGAAGACCTTTGGGGGGAAGTGACAGGCTGAGCTGGGAATGAGAAAGCAGCTACATAAAGTTCAAGAGGAGTGTTAAGGCAGAAGAAACGGTTGCGCAAAGGCCTGCCTTGGACAAGGAACGCAGAGAGGCCAGTGTGGCCGCCAAGGAGTGAGGGCCTGCCCTTCAGCACAGGTGGGGGGTGGAGGGGTGGGGTGGGGGGTGTACCTGAGGCTTTACAACTCTGTGGAAGGAATTTGGACATCACCCTCAGCACTGAGGAGTGGGGAGGCTTGAGGCAGGCAGTAATGACCTGAGTTGCCTTCTATGAGGCTGGCTGTGGCCCTGGGAGGATAAGTTGCTGGAGGGTAGGGTGGAGCAGGGAGGCGGTAGCTGGAGAAAGGAAGATTGGTGGTGGGGAGGACAGAAATGGATGGCCTCAGTGTGCTTCAGAGAAGCAGCAGGGTGCTTCAGGGTGCTCTGAGAGACTGGGCGTTGGGGTAGGGGAGGAGGGGAAGCAGGGATCACTCCTGGATGGGAGACTGGAGCTCCTAGAGGAAGGTATTCTGTGAGGCCGCGAGGCCAGGGAAGGCGGAGTGGGTTGGATGGGAGGGCACTTGGCTTTTCGACTTTCACCTTGATGGGTGAGCAGGCTGCTGGGGCTCAGGGCCACCTGGGCTGGAGGTCAGCAGCTTCGGGGAATTCTGAGGGGACTGTTATGTTCAAAGCCAAGGGCTTGGCGACACCAGCTGAAAAGGAGCATAAGAGAGGGGAGGACCCAGAAGGAGCATGGGGGCCCTTTTTCCATTTAGAGAACAGATCTGATAAGGAGGTGACCAGAGTGGTGGTGAGTTTGGAAGAGAACGTAGAGCAGGTGAAGATGAGATTAGACCTTATTCATTTTTTTAATCGTAAAATATACATAACATAAAATTTACCATTTTAGCCCAGTGGTTGAACGTTGATCTATGAACTAGGGGGTCACGGTTTGACTCCAGTTAGAGCACATGCCCAGGTTTTGGGCTTGATCCCCAGTGTGGGATGTGTGGGAGGCAGCCGATCAATGATTCTCTCTCATATTGATGTTTATATCTATCCCCCTCTCCCTTCCTCTTTGAAATTAGTAAGAATATATATTTTTTAAATTACCATTTTAACTTTTTTTATATATATATATATATTTTATTGATTTTGTACAGAGAGGAAGGGAGAGAGATAGAAAGCCAGAAACATCGATGAGAGAGAGTCATCGATCAGCTGCCTCTTGCACACCCCCTACTGGGGATGTGCCCGCAACCAAGGTACATGCCCTTGACCGGAATCGAACCCGGGACATTTCAGTCCACAAGCCGACGCTCTATCCATTGAGCCAAACCGGTCCCGGCAACTTTTTTTTTTTTTTTAAATAAAATCCTCACCCAAGGAACCCCCTCCCCCCCATTGATTACTAGAGAGAGTGGAAGGGAGGAGGAGTAAGAGAGAAACATTGAGGTGAGAGAGATACATGGATTGGTTGCCTCCCTCCAGCACCCCTACTGGAGCTGGGGAACCTGCAATTGAGATACATGCTCTTGACTGGGAATCAAACCTGCGATCCTTCTGTCCACAGGCCATGCTCTAATCCCTGAGAAACCGGCCAAGACCCATTTTCAAATATACTGTCCATTGGTGTACTGCACATTCACATTGTTGTATAACCACCACCATCCATCTCCAGATCTATTTTTGTTTGCCCAAACCCATAACCCACTTAGTTTTAGTTTTTGGGGTGTAATGTCATATTGGGAAGCTACTGTGTGTCAGGCAGTGTCCCAAGCACTGGGCCTGGGTGTGAAGGGCTGGATTTCAGTAGGAGGGACAGTGGTAGAGCAGCATAGACCCCTCTCCTGGTGAGGGCCCAGGCTTGCCCCTCATGGGACTGAGGTTGGACCTTAGAGGGACAGCAAGTGGTGGTGATGCTAGGGTTGCAAAGTCCTCCCTCTCATGCCCAAGCCATAAGGCAGAGCACTCTCTCTCTCTCTCTCTCTCTCTCTCTCTCTCTCTCTCTCTCTCTCTCTCACACACACACACACACACACACACACTTGCCCTGCTGCTCTTCATCCCTCCGCCCCCCGCCCCACTTCAAGGATAATTTTATCAACTGCCAAGGTTAACTGGAAGTGTTTTAGTTACTAAATTTAAGAGCATGGTAATGATGTGTAGTAGGAACTACAATGATGTAAACAAACGTATAGCTCATTGACCATGAGCAGTTTGCCTGCGGGGGTCAGTCATGTCACTGCTCTGCACAGAGGCTCAGAGGGAAGTAGACTGGAGGCCTCCGCCAGCCAGAGGGACAGGCCTGGACCAGACGTCAGGGAGCTGACCAGGATCCTGGCCCCATATCCCCTACCCTGTGCTGCCTCAGGTACAGATTTGAAATGGGATCCTTTTGGAAAGGGTAAGGGTGGCCCTAGGAGAGTGGTTTTGGATTTTCTAGAGTTATCTATGGTCCCTGCCTGATCAACTTGCCCTCAAGCATTTGCAGCTCTGGTACGCCAGGAGAGTCACCCCATCCTGCCACCCTCGGCCAGAGGGACCCAAGCTGGACCTCTCTGCTGCCAGCCTCTCTAGAGCCCCAGTGTCCCACTCATTTCATTTGGTGATTACTCACAAACCAGCCCAACAGCTGTGACCCACAGTGATGCATCGCTTTCCCCCTGGTTCTCTGAAATATTTTTGAGCATAAATAATACACATGGTTCAGCCAAAACCGGTTTGGCTCAGTGGTAGAGCGTCGGTCTGTGGACTGAAAGGTCCCGGGTTCGATTCCGGTCAAGGGCATGTACATTGGTTGCGGGCACATCCCCAGAAGGGGATGTGCAAGAGGCAGCTGGTTAATGTTTCTCTCTCATCAACGTTTCTAGCTCTCTATCTCTCTCCTTCCTCTCTGTAAAAAATCAATAAAATATATTTAAAAAAAAAAAAAATACACATGGTTCAAAATGCAAAAGATACATAAGGCTTTTACAGTGAAAAGTTTCTTCTTGAGTCTTCTGGCCCTCAAGTCCTCTCCTCAGAGGCCATCACTGTCACCAATGTATTAGTAATTCTTCCAGTCAGGGATGTGTGTATGTGTGTATCAGCACACACACACACACACACAGGAACATATGCACACATATTTTTTAATGTATATATTTTTATTGGTTTCAGAGAGGTAGAGAGAAATAGAAACATCAATGATGAGAGAGAATCACTGATTGGCTGCCTCCTGCATGCCTCCAACCAGGTTCAAGCCTCTCAACCCAGGCATGTGCTCTGACTGGGAATTGAACTGTGACCTCCTGGTTCATAGGTCAGTGTTCAACCACTGAGCCACACCAGCCAGGCTAAGCACTCACATCTTAATGGCTTACTTTACTTACCCAGTTCTTTCAGGAAGGTAATTAAAGTTGCGTCCAGTCTCTTGCTATTATGTGAAATACTGCA